TAGTGGTCTATCAATCTTATTTCTTTTTTTCAAGAATCAACAAATGGGGCAAATTAAAAAATATGGGAAATTAGGGCACTGGAAAGAGGCTGTGGCACTTGGGGATGCAGGAGAGCAAGGTTTATTCAGCCCCGTGCAAGCTCAGCGGGGTCCTCTCCAAAGGCTGAGCACTGCCCTTGTTCCCAGCATCTTTCAGGTTTCAAGACCTTCCCAGGCGAGTAGCCTCCATGTCATCCCCTTCTCCAGGCAGCTCTGGTTCCTGCCCCAGCTGCTGATGACAGAATTCAAACTAAAATGTTTTTTTCTCAGCAAGAGAAATAATATGTGAGGTGAATAGGGAGCGTACACCCTGGGAACAAAGTTTTACCCCTCACACAACAGATAGAGCTCTAATCTCTGGAGTATACAAAGAACTCAAAAAGTTAAACAACAACAACAACAACAACAACAAAATAACCCAATCAACAAAAGGGGCAAGGACCTGAACAGAAGCAGAAACGAGCAGGTTGCAGCTATTAAGAGAGAGAAAAAGACGCATCTTAGGAAGGAGTTGCCGCTTGGGTAACTTAGAATTACCAAGAAGAAATGTTTCAAAGCACATTATTCTGCAAAGAAGTACTAAATAAAACTCTGGGCATGGAACATCGTCAGCAGTGAGTCAATGCTTCCAGACTAAGGGGATACTGAAGCTCCGTGGGGACCTGTGTGCTGGTGGTGGCTGCGATGGCAGCCAAGTATAACGTGAAAATCTTCAAAAAAAATTAGAAAAAGGCATATAGGTAAAGAATAATAGCACCCTTGAAGTTCAAGTTAAACACATGAAGCCATCCAGATCCGTTGTAAGAAAGCCTCTGTTCATCAGGAAAAAAATGATAAATACTATTTTCAACCAGTCACTCATGTGAACGGTTTCGCATTGAAGGTGGCTGCCAAAAATTTGAAGAGATCATTGCTAAGAAGCCTTGATTGGGAATTGCCAGTAGGCATTTGGAGAGCAAGACCTGCTTTGAAATGTGTGCTAAAAAAGACACTAGAGTTTCCGATGCCCATTGCTCCTGACGGGAATCTGTTTCCTCACACCATGGCCTGCTGTCCCTGAATCTGTGTCTTCCTGATGGGTGCAAACCCAATCTCATTTATCGCTTTGATTTGCATATTGCTAATTACTAGTGTGATTAATTAGAATTACTTAGATTTTCCAGGCATGTATGTATACTTTCTATCCAGTAAGTGCTTTTTATATCTGATGCTCAGTTTTCTATAGAACTATTTTTCATTTTCCTATCCATTGGTAGGAACATCCCAAAGCTTTAGATATTATTTGCTTGTTAGGTGTGTTGCAAACATTTCCACCTGGGTCACTTGTATTTTTAATTTTCTTTCATGGTGTGTTTTGTCCAAAATTCTGAAATTTTTATGCCACCCAATTTTCCATCTTTTCTTGCATGACTTTGGCATTTTGAGCAATATGAACCACTAGACAAAGGCTAAAAATTCTCTTTGTCTGGAAATTTCAAACCGTAGACATTTAATTTAGCATTTCTTTCTTAGGTGTTGCCCAATTAAGGCTTTTTATTGCTTTATCTTTGTTGTTGTTGCAGTAGGTAAGTGGACAAATTTGGTCAATAGCTGTTTTGATTTTTACAGCAATACATCTCTGGTGGTTTTCGATGGTGTGGCTCTTTGTCTTAATTCTTCCAATGATTCTGTTGACTGCTGCTGTTTTGTTGAGTAGCTGTGGGGTTGTTACATTGTCTTTTATTTTCACATGAGGGAGACAGAAGGTGTTAAATAGCACGTTGGCTCAGGTCCCAGAGTCTGGGCTTGCAGAGAGACCAGCTTCAGGAAGACGGGAAGGACCAGCACCCAGGAAGCAAGTCTCAGGCCAAGGTTTGGGCTGTTGGAGGAGCAGAGCCTTTGAATGTATCACCATGTGGCATCAACACTGGGCAAGGGCTACACTGCAGAGGCTGCCCCAGGAACTTCCTTGGCTTTGCCTCAAGTCCATGAGAGTACAAATGGACCTGCGTTGGTCTCCGTGGCTCATGGCGCATGCCATGTTGACCCACGAGTTCAACAGGGGCGAGTTCTGGCTCCTTTCTGGTGTCTTCGCCAGCCCTGGTCCTATGAAGCTCTTGTAGGGTCTGGGCCTCTTTGGAGCCCCCAGGGAACTGGAGCCTCCCAGCACCAAGGTCTGGATCTGGACCTAGGAGTCACAGATCCTGAGTCGAGTTCTAGACTAACTTGATTCTGTGCCGTTGACCTTCTTGAAGGCCACATAACTTTCGCCGCTCCACAATTCACTCTGTTTTATTAGTTCTGATCATATTAGCCTGGTTACATGAATAAGGCACTGTGAACTGGCTATCTGTTAGCAAATTCTAGAGATTCCCACGGTGGTGAATGATGAAACTCTTAACCCTACCTGCCTCCTTTGATGTCTTCCCAACTTAGTAAGCTCATGAGCATGGGGAGTGAGCAAGTTAGCAGAGCTAATCACCCAACACTCATGGTTGATTGCATCACAGGGCTTGAGAATTGGAATCTGGACTAAATGTTCTTTTAAAATCTTTTCCGTGTCTTAAGAAATTTGGCCTTCTGAGTACATTCTGGAACTCGGTTTAAGCCAAGGTTAATGATGTGCATCACTTTCATTGTTCTCCACAGAAACACAACATTAATAGAGTCTGGTGACTGGATTGCATTTTATAGCTGATGTCAATATTGCTAGTCTGCTCAAGTCCAGCCAGGCTACCAGGTAACCATGATGTCCACCCTCCATTCTGAGATAAAAGTTCTGGTCCTTCTCATCAGCAGATGGACCCTCTGCTCTTGGATGATGAACCTCCTTTTATCACCATCACTCAGTGCTGTGCTTTGGGTAAGGTTTGCATGTGCGCCTCCCCCGCTCAGAGGTTGATGTGCTGGGGGTTTGGTTCCCAGTGTGTGATCTTGGGAGGTGTTAGGACATTTGGGGGAGGGCCAAAAGGGAGCCAATTAGGTCACTGGGAGCAATGACCTAGAAGGGATTTGATAGTTCTGGGGCCCTCTGTTTGTTTCAGTGAGTGTTGTTAGAAAAAAAGCAAGGCTGGCCCCCTCCATTTTGGCTTTCTGTCTTGCACACGATTGCTTTCACAGCTTCTCCCACTGTTGACACCATTCACCTGAGGCCTTCACCCAAGGCTGAGTCAATGAGGCCATCTTGGACTTTCAGCTTCCAAAAATGTGAGCTAAATTAATTTTTTTCTTTATAAAGTACTCACCCTCAAACATTTTGTTCTGGCAATAGAAAACGGAAACATTCATTCCTATTCCCTTTAATTTCTCTTATACTCATTCACACTAAAGTTTAAACTGGGAACCTCAGAATGGATGCCTAGGGCTGGGAAATCTGGGAAAAGCTATATTCCCTGAAGGCTAGGAAGCTATTGAAAGGAGAAGGTCATATGAAATAAGAGGCTGAGGCTCAGGAGGATATATATATATATATTACCAGACTATATGGGCTTTTGCAATCTTCACCTGGGCACGAAAAGTTCAAATTATGCCCACGGGGCTTTTGAATCAATGAAAATGTGTCCTTTGGGTCCTGCAAGCATCTCCTGGTTGATCCCTGCCCTCTGCCATCTACCAGATGGCATGGGGTCTGAGAACCGGAGGTAGAGGATCCTCCTCCCTGAGATCCAGGTATTGATCCTATAAGAGCACTCACTTAGGCTCCTTTGCTCCGGCCCGTGGCCTTACATCCAGGATCCCACAGCATGCCCTTTTTAACTTTAGCCCTTCAACGTATGACAACGCGATTCCTTGAACTCAGTTACATTCGTCTGCAATTCCCAGTGCAGGTTCTCTCTTCCAGATTGGATCTCAATGAAACAGAGACCCAGGGGGATTTGGAAGCCAGATGATGGGATCTTTAAGCTGCTGTCCTTTGGCAAGTGCCCCAAGAAAGGGGATATGTTGGCTGAGGCTTAATGGCGGGAATGTTCAGCTGGGCGGAGGGGACTCCAGAGAGTGACACTGCTGAAGCCTGACTTTACACAGGCATGTGTCTGAATTCATTGTCACGCTTTCCCATGGTAATTGATCCACCAAACTGGTAGGATCGGGCCTCATCAGGAAAAGGTGGTGTTCCTCCATGGGCAGGGAGGAGAGGCGGGATGACTAGTGGGACAGGCTGGGCAAGGAGGCTCTTCTGGGACCTAAGGGACTAGCCTGGCTGTAGAGGGCCGGGCTCCCAGGGCCAGGACATGAAGACGTGTTCCTGCTGGGGCCTGGAGATCCAGTCCTGCCCACAGGGTGACAAGGTAACTTGGAGCACAGAATTGGGTGGACCCTTTGTCTTGTGTAGTCAAAGACTGAGATTCACAGGCAGCAGAAGGTGAAAACCAAGTCTCACAATGTCTTAAAACAAACCCAAGTAAAGCTCCCGTAGCTGGGAGGGGACCCGGGAGGGTGGCCAGTGACGGCTACTGTCTAGGGCTTACGTGGATCCATAGGTTTGGGGAAGCCAGCCCCCTGCCCCATCCTGGATAAGGCACTCGGTGTCCACCAGGCCTTCAGGCAGCCTCCTGTCCAGGCCAGGTATTGATCAGGCACTTTTCCTTCCTTGGAGAGGCCAGGGACTCCGGGTCACGTGTGTCCCGATTTCCTATGGACTGCAGGCCACGGGTGTCTCTATTTAAAAATAACTTGCAAGTTTCTCAGCAGGGGCCTGCAGTGGCTGTGCGGTGCTGCTCAGGAGGCCACCTGGGGACCATTCTTCTATCTGCCCAGCCTCATTTCTCCCTTGACATCAACACAGCAGGAGGGCTAAGCTCCAGGGAAGTCCCTTAGGCTCCCCTTTTTTGGAAACCTGGGGTCTGTCATCGTCTCTGCTTCCCGGTGGCAGCCACGTGGGGACAGCGTCTGTTTCTCGGGGAGCCCAGACGAGTCACACTCTTGCTGTCCTGAGTGTGACTTCCGTGGACCTCTCTGACCTTCTGGCAGGAGGAACTGGATTTCTTTCATGCTTTGCATTTGTCACACCCACCAAAGGAACCGGAGCCTCCCTCTCTGCTCATCCAAACAGATGACCCCGGCTTGGCAGGAGGCTGTCACTGCTCTGAGAAGCTCCGCGGGCCATGACCCGGTGCCCTGGACTTTTGGTAAGGGCTCTTCCACGCAGGTGCCACCCACAGCTGGAAGGTCTCTAACTCCAGAGCCTCTGTGTTGGGGGTTAGTGAAGGGATGGGATGTGCCAGGCTGGCTCTGGGCCTCGTCCTGGGCAGGGCTCACTGCCTGTCCTTGGGGAGTTTGTGAGCAGAATTGCCCTGGCATGGGGCTCCCCTTGTCCCTAGAAATGGAAGCCAGTGAGCGGGAAGGATCTCCAGGAGGAGACACCAGCATCAGGGCCTGTGGGAGTTCAAGGTCAAGGGTCATGTCTGGAGGGAGGGAAGGTCGGGAGGGAGGGAAGGTTGTTGGCCGGGGCGCTGGGTGGAGGGAGATGCTGCCAGCTCCCCTCCCTGAGGCGGCTGTGAACTCTGGTCCCGGAAGGTGGCCCATCTGACTAGAGCACCATCTCAGGTCAGGCCGTCGGCCCCCAGTGGAGAAGGAGCGTCTGAGGTACCAGTGTCCTGGGGAGGTCCTGTGGTTGTCTCCTGAGGTCACTGTCACTGTCCCCGCAGGGCCTGGCTGACACAACACCACCATGATGGACCCCGAGAGACAAGTTTATGGGACAGGTGAGTTGGGGTGGGGTGCTCAAGGCCCAGACCACCAGCAATCACCTCTGTATCCTCCAGACACCCCAACATTTCTGTCCCTCCCTGTGTGTGGCCCTTACCACATGGCCCTTCCTGCCACTGGGGCCAGGGGATTCTGGAGGCAGGGAACCACTGCTCATCAGTGCTGGGTTGGCCCCAGCCAACCAAGCAACAGCCACCAAGAGTGACCAGGTCTTGACACCAGGTACTGGGGCTGCTCTCCTCACCAGAGCCCACAGCTCTGCTGGCAAGGCTGGGAGGTGAGTCACGTGAGTGTGGCCTGTTTTGGGGTGTAACCCCTGGTCCTCCTTACGGAAGTCCGGACTGGGTGGTCTTTCTTTTAGAGTCAAGAAAGCAGCCTTGGTTTTCACGTTCCTCCATTGATTTTCCCCCTTCCCAACGGCAGCACTTAGGCCTCAGACTTGGGAGGTGTCTGATCGGGATCAGCAGGTGTGGATCCTGCAGGGAGAGACTCTGGTGATGGTTCCACGGAGCAGCAATGTGACTCCGGGTGAGTGGTCCACTGTGCTGACCTGCCCCTCACCCCATGGCCTTTTGTCAAAGTGTGAGGACAGACGGCCCGTAGCCCAGGAGGGTGACTGTATTTAATGACATGGGTTCTGAAAGAGCCAGAGGACAGGGCTCGACTGCTGTCACCACAAAGGAATGATCAATGTACCAGGAGGGATGTGCTCATCACCCGATCACGTCACTTCTGCATACTGTGCACATGTATGGAGTCGTCATATGGCACCCCGTAAATATGTACAATTAGTGTGTGTCCAAAAGTGTGGCTTTCAGTGGGCTCATCTGGAAGAGGTAGGACTTCATACCGGTCTGGCAAGAAAAGCCAGAGAGGTTTGTTTTAGACTAAAGAAAGCAGGGTGCGGAGCCCCTAGGGCTTGGGAGAGCCACCTTCAGGGATCTGAGGTAGCTGATCTGTCCTGTGCAAGAGGAGTACCTTGTACTGTGTGGCCTCAAGTGTCTTAAAGGGACTAAGTGGGGACATCCACAGGAAGGCGAATTTCAGCACCGCCTGAGACAGAGCTTGCTAGTGGACAAAGCTCTCCGAGAATCAGAGGAGTGGCCTGGGGTAGGAGATGGCCATCTCCAGATGTTCAAGTGCAGGTGCCCCAGTCTCAAGGGCAGGTTGGCCATCTGAGTCTCTGTTTGCTCCAGCTTCTAGGTTAGGGACTGCCACATGGGATGAGTGGGTGGTGAATGACGGGCAAAGGACGGACGCAGTGGTTGGACAAATGGTGGCTCTGGTGTGGCCGACCAGCATTTCCTAAGCGTATTGGTTCCTAGCCCCTGGTGGGTCTTCCAGCCCCACGGGAAGCACCCCACGCTGCTCCGTCAGGAAGAACTGTAAGAACCGTTCATTTTCCCAAACTTCAAAAGGAAACCGATGCCTGTCCTCTGCTTGTCTTTACAGCCACGGTCACTATCCTCCCATGCAAGTACCCTGAGTCGCTCGAGCAGGGCCGAGGGGTTCCCATCTACTTGGGCACCCAGGATCCAGACCTGTGTCTGTTTTGTGAGGAGGTGGACCGATGGCCCGTGCTGTGGCTGAAGGTGAGGGGCGGACAGAAATGACAGTTTCAACAGCCAATGTTTCTTCATGAGAATTTTATTGGGTAAAAGGTTCTAATTTTAGAATCAAAACAGAAGTTCCCATTCTCCTGAGCGTATTGATTCCGAGCTCCTGAGTTTTACGTGTGCGACAGCACTTCCTGTCTCCACCCCTTCTCCTCGAGGCTCCCCCTTCAATCTCCAATGTTCTCCGTATTTCCCAAGTGTCCCCTGTCGGGTTGTGCCATCTTTCTCCTCTTGGACCTCCCGTCTACCCATCCTTGGGAAGCACATTCCACAGTGTGACACAATGAGGATGCTCTCCTCTGATGTCCCTGTCTACTGGTGACACGTGCTGTACTTTTAAAGATGAGAGTAACGAAAGTAGGGGTGCTGATGAGAACCGGGGCACAGACTGAGCGAGGCTGGCGGAGCACAGGGAGCAGGCAGCTGCTGGAGGGGCACCAGAGCTGGCACCCTGGAGGGGCCCGATGCCCGGTCCTAAGCAGGCCGGGAGGTGGACGCCCTGAACCCGGGCTGCGGGTGATGACTCCCGTCATCTCAGTGAGCAGGGAGCGGATGGGGGGAGGAAGGGGTATGGTCTAAAATGAGAAGGCGTCTTCCATTTGTAAAGTAGCAGATCCCTGTAGAGCAGGATGCCGGGCGTTGCCACATATGGAGGACCAGTGATGCCCAGGCCTGGCGATTCTCGAGGGGTCCCTCGGCTAAGTTTAGCTGGTGACATGTTAATGAGGAAAGAGACCCAGGAAGGAGCTGAGGTGGGAGAGGGTGGGATTCGAGTTACTCTGGCCAGGATGTTCAGTGAGCTCTCCCTAAGAGCAGGCCTCGGAGCTGACCCCTGAGTCCCAGGGAGTAGCCCGCCGGGCAGGTGTGGGGGCAGAGGGTCCAGGCAGGGGACATCAGGACCCTGGGCGGGCACACCTCGGCGTCCCTGAGCGAAAGGCAGAAGGCAGGTGTAGCTGGAGCAGATCGGCATTGGCGGAGAGGTCAGAGGTAGGGTAGTGAGGCAGGCGAGGGCCGGTAGTTTAGACAGGCTTCCTGTGGATTTCATGGTAAGTACAACAGAACATCATGCAAGAAGTTTAAGTCGGAAGACAGCATGAGTTTAGTTATTGTCCTTATTTCAGTTTAAAGCTTGCTCAGCTGCTTTGTGGAGAATGGCTGAGAGGGAATGGAGTAGATTCCAGGAGAACAGTTAGGAGGTCACCGTAATCATTCTGGCCAGAGGTGGCGATGTCCTGGTCGGCAGTGTGGGCAGGGGTGGGGGGCACCAGAAGCAGCTCAGTTTCAGGGTGTTTGGAAGTAGAATCCACAGGCTGTGGTATATATGTTGAGAGGGAGGTCAAAGGAGATATCAAGGTTGACTCCTAGGTATTCGGCCACCCAGAGAGTTGGCTGAATGATGGACAGTCATTACCAGAGTAAAGGAATCCCATTGAGAACTCCCTACTCAGGGTGGAAGATGCTGGAATTCTGAACCATTCCTGGGTCTCTCTTGAGATCTTACACATGCATAATTTAATTAAAAAGCTTATTTTACCTAAATATTCAATAAATGCACATAGAAACGTACACACATACGACATGATTTCTAAATACAACAGAGAAGGCGTTTTCTGATGGCTGTGTCTCCTTCGGGTGCAAGTTCTCTGATTTATTCGACTCCATATCTTTCGTGTGTGACCTTTCTCCTGTGCTCAGCTATTGACATGAGGCACACTCCCGCAGCCTGGCTGTCCTTTGCTGGGACAGTTGCTTTTTTAGGTGCTGCTCTCACCATTGGGCTTTGGTAAATGAGGTCTTTAGCCAACTTTGCAAATTTGCATCTTTGTCCCTCAGTCTCTTGTGCAAGAAGAGCTCCAACTCATCATCCAAGGGCGGCCACTGGTTCGCGGACCTGACCCTTGTTTCCTTGCTCTGGACTTGAGGGTGGGGTTGGGAAGGTGAGATTCCACCTGGAGTCTCTGCTGCTCTTGGAAACTTACCTTTCCAGTCCTGCTTACAGGTGGGGAAGGCTTTCTTGAACTTTGAAATGTTTATTGGTTACTTGGAACATTTCAAGCAACTTCCTTTTCTCCTCTTGGCTGTTCTGCCCCACCTTTCAGGAGCAGAATATCTTGGATCTGTACAACCAGGTGGAGCCCGTGAGACCCTTCCTTTTTTACCACTCCCGGGATGGCAATACCTCCACCTTCGAGTCCGTGGCCTTCCCAGGCTGGCTCATCGCCTCCTCCCAGGTTGGCCAGCCCATCTTCCTCACTTCCGACCTGGGGACAACCAACAACACTAACTTCTATTTGAATTTAAAGGCTTGAACTCAGCGTGGAGGTGGCCGCTTGCTCAGAGGCCTTTGTCTTTCATTTTTTGAGCTCCCAGCAGGACTTTGTGTCACCTCAGGGCTGCTCCATGCCAGCGCCAGAGGTGAGCAAGCTGCTGTCATCAGCTCATTTTATGGAGGAAGAAGCGCTGACCTCGTGGCCACTGAAGAGCAGGCTGTGACTCAGAGCACGCAGCTGGGGCTGAAGGCTCCTCTCTAGCAGAAGCTACCCAGCGTGTCACCTGAGAAGTGGTGCGTGGTGTCACGGTGTGTGAGACCACAGGAGGCCCTTCGAGGAGTGACACCCTCATTTTCAGGTGACTGGCCTGCTCCACGCCTGATTTTCACCCACTTGCTACAGCAGACGTTCTTGCATTGAGCAGCAGGAGAGCCAGGCTAACTTTCACTGAAAAACGGGATTCTTTGGACCTTTAGCCATGGGGAACCTTACAGAAGGATGAACACACAGGGAGAAGGGCTTTTGGACCCTGGGAGGAATGAACAGTGCTCCGGTGATTAGAACTGTCACATCGTGCTGAAGCACGAGGGCGGCTTTTTATTTTTTTTATTTTTTAATGGTCATTTCATGAAGCTGGATCCAAAGACACTGCCTGGTGCCTCAGGAACGACAGGGCATGGGACAGAAGACACTGTTCCCCACTGAACACAGTGACTACAGTCAATAATTCATGTCAATAAACATGAATGTTTGCTGCTTAGGCTCTTTTAAAGGTTTTAAGATTCTTACCCAAACAACACACATCTGTGGTTAAAGGACCCGTCCTCCACCCCATCCTCCGCCCCGTCCTGCACGCACCCGGCAGCTTCGATTTGGCCACTTTTTCTGCCGTTTTTCTTCCATTTCAAGAATTAGCAGTTTTTGACACTCTCTTTCCTACCCGACGGATGGCATTTGCATCTCTACAAAAATTGCAAGCTCTTTATCTGTTTTCTACAAAGAAATAAATCCCAAGTGGCAAGACCGGTGTAGCCGCACTCACAGGTGTTGAGACGCCCTTGGAGGCGCCTGGGAGGTCAGGCCTTCTTTTTCAGGATTTGGATAATTTTTATGAATCTCTTCCTCTCCTTCAGCCTTTTCGTTTGTTGGGCGAGGGAAGGGAGGTACACAGAGTGCATGGGTTTGCTGAGGGGCACTGCATTTCATGCAACTGGAGGAATGGCAGGCTTGAGGCTGGGTCTTTAGAGTGCTGTGTGCTGGAATTGGGGGGGGGGTTGTGAACCGTGAGAAATCAGCAACAGTGACCCCAGCCAGGGCAGCAGAGCCAAGTCTGTGCCTCCTCACTCCCTCCATTGGGGTTGTCCTTAATTTGCAAATTTTCAGCACATGATCCATCAAATGGAATCTCTGGCCTCCCAGACACCCTGATGGAATGATGTAATCAGTGGAATGTACTAATTGCACACTGTATTTCTAAACGCAACATAGCATCTGACTCCCCTGGGTGGTGCACTAAAACCCCAGGGACCCACACACCTCATTAAAAACCCTCTTCTAGAAACTGGCATTTATCAACTTCAAGGTGGGCCTCAGAATTAACATCTTCCCCAGGACACTAGGGAATACCGACTGATGGACCAAACTTGGGAAATACTTTCCTGGGTTATCCCAGTGGAATTTCATGGACAAAAAGACTTCGATTAATCATGCTTGGGATAATCTGTGTGCTTCAACAGAAATAAAGAGATACTTACATATACGTCTTGCTCATTTTGTTGGTATTTACTTCTCTAAGGATTTTTTTTCCCCTCTTGAGTGATTGAAAAGTGAATTGAACAAAATGACTCAAATAAAAAAGCCACCAAGTAAAACTTCATAACATTCCAAAGCTAGAAAGAACCCAAGCTTACGTGAACAGTGAATGGATAAATCAGTAGTGTGTATTCAATGTTGCTTCACAACAAAAGGAAATTGATTACTCATAGAGATTCAACCAGATGAATGTAAAAAATATTGAAGATGCCAGACGCAAAGGACATCTACTATATATTTACTTCTAAAAAGTTCAAGAATGGGCAGCATTCATCTTTGATGATAAAAATCGGATGTGGTTGTGTTGTGAAGGGAGGAGGCAGAAGATTCTAAAAGCTGCCACTGAGATGACCCTGGTCACATCCAAGCCAGTTAGAAGCCACGTGGCTCAGCTTTCCTCTAGAGCAGCACAGAAAGCCCCAAGTCATAGGAGCAATGCTTCCCAGTTGGTGAAGGGAAACAAATAATTTCTAGCAAACAATTCTGTCGATTAAGTACGAGTGGAGTAAACCTGTTTTCACGATTTGTTTTCACACACTTTACTTGAGAAGCGGCTGGAGAATGAGCTCTGCCCATTTCTGAAGTTTAAGCGAAGAAAAGCAAAAGAGAAATAATGAGGACTCCTGCAGCCGGGGGACTCCCTCCATGGAGACGCTGGGGGCCTGCACCCCGAGGACACCGGGACACCCCCAGGCAGCCAGGCAGTGCGATGCTGTGGGAGGGTCCAGGGCAAGTGGCTAGGCTGGCGGCAGGCCCCGTGTGTTAGGAAGAATTTGACAGGGGTGGGGGATGTGGGGGTTGATGAATTCTGTAGAAAAGCAAGTGCAAATTAAGAACAACAAAGACTAGATGGTTCTTCATTCCAGAGAAACATTAGATCATGCAGAAGAGGAAGTAGAGTCCCAGCCTACCATGTGGCCCAACCATTGCAATAATAATATAAACTCTATAAGGTTATTCTATACCTAGAAGACCCTAAAAGTTCCACCAGAAAACTTTTGGAACTATTAAATGAATTCAGCAAAGTAGCAGAATATAAAATCAACACCTGGAGGCTGGGGTTGTGGTTCAGTGGTAGTGCACTTGCCTAGCATGCCCGAGGCACTGGGTTTGATTCTCAGTACCACATAAAAATAAATAGAATAAAGGTCCATCAACAACTAAAAATATTTTAAAAAATCAACGCCCATAAATCAAATGCAATTCTGCATATCAGTGACAAATCCTCAGAAAGGGAAATGAGGAAAATTACTCTATCTACAAAAGCCTCAAAACAAAACAAAACAAAACAAAACAAAACAACCTTGGGAATCAACTTAACGAAAGTGGTGAAAGATCTATATAATGAAAATTACAGAACCCTAAAGAAAGAAATCAGAGAAGACCTTAGAAGATGGAAAATTCTACCTTGCTCTTGGATAGGCAGAATTAGCATTATCAAAATGACCGTACTAACAAAAGCACTATCATATTTAATGCAATTTCAATCAAAATCCCAATGACATTCCTCATAGAAATAGAAAAAGCAGTCATGAAATTCACCTGGAAAAATAAGAGACCCAGAATAGCTAAAGCAATCTTTAGCAGGAAGGGTGAAGCAGGTGGCATCACTATACCAGACCTCAAACTATGCTACAAAGCAATAGTAATAAGAACAGCATGATATTAGCACCAAAGCAGGCTGGTAGGCCAATGGTACAGAATAGAGGATACAGAGACTAACCCACAAAATTACAATTATCTCATACTAGACAAAGGTGCCAAAAACATGCATTGGAGAAAAGATAGATCTTCAACAAATGGTGCTGGGAAAACTGGAAATCCATATGCAACAAAATGAAATTAAATCCCTATCTCTCACTATGCACAAAACTCAATTCAAAATGGATCAAGGACCTAGGAATTAAATAAGAGACTCCGCATCTAATAGAAAAAAAAAGTAGGCCCTAATCTTTATCATGTGGGATTAGGCCCCAACTTCCTTAATAAGACTCTTGGGGGAAAAGAATTAAAATCAAGAATCAATAAATGGAATGGACTCAGACTAAAAAGTTTCTTAGCAAAAGAAACAAACTGTGAGGTGAATAGAGAGCCTACATCTTGGGAGCAAATCTTTACCCCTCACACATCAATCAGATAGAGCACTAATCACTAGGATATATAAAGAACTCAAAAAGCTAAACACCAAAAATACAAATAACAAAATCAATAAATGGGCCAAGGACCTGAACAGACACTTCTCAGAAGATGATATACAATCAATCAACAAATATATGAAAAAATGTTCATCATCACTAGCAATTAGAGAAATGCAAATCAAAACTACTCTAAGATATCATCTCACTCCAGTCAGAATGTCAACTATTATAAAGACAAACAATAATAAGTGTTGGTGAGGATGTGGGGGGAAAGGTACACTCCTACACTGCTGGTGGGACTGCAAATTGGTGCAGCTAATCTGGAAAGCAGTATGGAGATTTCTTGGAAAATTGGGAATGGAACCACCATTTGACCCAGCTATCCCTCTCCTTGGTCTATACCCAAAAGACTTAAAAACAGCATACTACAGGGACACAGCCACATAAATGTTTATAGCAGCACAATTCACAATTGCATGCAGCTTTTCAAAAAGTTGCAAGACTTGAATGAAGGAATGAGGTTATAATAAACACTCCATATGCAATAGCTATTATGTAATTTTTATTATATTTTTAAGAAAATTCAGTAAGTTTAAGTTTCTTTAGGACCTGTGTTGTTTCTGTGGTTTAAAACACTGAGGAAGTATGAAGAAATATTTACAACAGTATACCTGGGGTCTGGATAAAAGGAGCTAACCCGAATCATCCCCCAGACGAAGAAGCAGACCCAGGACCTTGGGGAGCCCTGTCTGCCTGTCTCCCCTCCTACATATTCTTCTAACTCCCTGCCGAGGAACTGCCAAACTGAGTTGGATGAGCCATTCCCTTGCAGTTAGTTGTGGTCCTACCTTCTGTGATAGTCTTATCACATGAGTATGTGTCCCGAAAACGGGTCCTGTTCAGTCTGCACGTGTGAGCACTTTAAATGAAATCACAGTATATATACATTCATTCACCTCTTCTTCACGCTCCTGGGATTCATTCAGGTGACGTGTCTTGTCAGTTTGGGATCTTTTCAGAGAAGATGCCAAGAGGAGTGCCCAAGAAGGACCAGAGAGGGACAGGGCAGGAAGGGAGGGTGCACTGGCACCAGTGACAGAGGAGTGAGAAGGAAGGAGGGTGGGAGGAAGAGCCCTGGACTGCGGCAGCTGTGACAGCCC